ATGACATCAACAGTTCAACACAAATAATCATTAAATGCTTCTGCTATGCTATTAAAGTTTGCAATACTATAAAATTCAAACGTACTTTAACGCGCAACAGTTTCTTCCTCGAAGCAGACTCAGCGTCAACGTCATTATTGGAATTCGTATCTTCATATATCAGAGTATCATTTGACATAACCTTTGTTACGCTAGGGATTGACTGAAAAAAAAATCATCATTTCAAACATAACCTGACTGATGTTGTTAAGATTGTAAGATTTTACATCTGAAAGGATATTCCAAATTTGCACAAAACTTGATATTTCAACATATCTAGATCTACAATGTACCATCATATTCATTCTCACTGAAAAACCAATTCAGCCGATTTTTGTTGGGAAAAAAATCTACCCAAACCTTGTTGGACAATAAGATAAATAATGGATAATTGTTGATATTTGATTTTTAAATTTTATATGCAGCTTTGGTATTCACGATTAAACTTGTATACTAATTATATATTTATTAAATATTTAGAATAAAAAAAGTTAAAGAATACAATATGATAAATTTCAGAAATCTTCATATTAAGTCACTGAGAACATTGAACCTCACGGTATTTTGCTTTTGAAAGTTGTAACATTTTTTACCTTCTTTGAAACAATGGCTTCGTCAAGATGTGGTTTTTTCAACCTGCAGGAGTCCATGTCATGTTTAGTCAGAAGCTCTATGTTGCAATACATTGGCTCCTCGATGACGTCATTTTGATTTCGATTTTCTGCTTGCTTCCTTTGATTCTGGCTGGAGTTCAAATTTTGGCGATTCGAAGAAGCAGATATAGATCCTTGAAAATTATTTTTTTTTTATTTTTTTGGGTAAAAACAAGAATGTAGAATGCTTTACAATTCACAATGTTGATACATCTTAATGCCTTAAAAACTTAAAACTTTTAACATTTGACTGACATAAGTCAATTAAAAATTGGTTGCTATTGTTTACTCGCCAATCGATCGTAGATTCGAAATTAAACTTGCAGGTCTTTCGAAAGAAGCCCAAAAATTCTAGAACCATTCACGACAAGCGTTGGTTCGATAAAGAACCCTCACTGTAGAACTGCTTTGAGTGCCAAGAAAAGGTTTTTTAGAAGCCATTCACTGGACTATGGTGACGTATCTATATATACAAAAACGTCTCAAAGGGGGTGTAAAAAACAACATACAATCAATCAATCTATTTGTTGATCTACGTCCTTAATTTTTCATGTATATTTCTTGTGACTTTCTTCGGGTACCTACATACTTAACCTCTCGATCTTGAATAATGCAGCAATAAAGGTTAATAACCTCTTGACCTTGAAGTTTGAATTACTTTTGGAAAATAAGAAAATTAACCATGTCCATATTTACAGTACGAATGGTGCTGAAATTTTCATGTTTCACAGGTATATTTCCTTTGTTTTATTTTTTTTTTTTTTTTTTTTTTTTTTTTTTTTTTATATTTATTTTCATAACAAACACACAAATATACAAAACCTTTCACACATCCTTTCATACATGTTGGAAAAGAAGACACTAAGTATATTAACAATAATTAGTCAAGAACATTTTCAAAATTTGACACATTAAATAGACATTTCCAATTGGACCATCTTTTTTTATAAAAAATATTTTCTGACAGCTTTTCTTCTAAAGTATAGTAATTATATAGAACTCTCAAAATATCTTTGAAAACAATACAAGAGTTGTTTCTGGATTGCTGAAATAAATATTTCTTCACTAACAGAATAATCAAGTTTATAGCTACATGATCTTTTTCAAAACTACCAAAAATAACAGTCTTTACATCAAATTCAATTCTTTTACCAGACTTTTGAAAAATCCAATCTGACAGTGCCAGCCAAACCACAGAAACTTGTGGACAATAAAAAAATAAATGTTTAATTGTTTCTGGTTCTTGTTCACATATTGAACAAAGTGGAGAATCTTTAATTTTAGACAAGTGTAAGTATTTATTTGTACCTAAAATTCTATGAATAATTCTATAATTGAACCATATCAGTGCTGAATCTTTAGTTAAGTATTTCAAGTTTGTATAAATATGTTTCCACTTAAAATCAGATTCCAACTTTAAATCAATAGCCCATTTGTTTTCACAAATAGGTCTGTGCTGTATTTTAGACATTAAATGATCATAAATATTTCTGGATCCTTTCTTATTCTGACAAAGTATTTTTAAAAATTCAGGTTGGTATGGTTTACCATAAGTAGTTTTTGACAATTGTTTGACATTTGGCCATGAGTATAAAACTGCTTGCTTTAGTCCCTCATAAGTAGTGAATGGCAACTTAACTAAATAATCATTTGTGATACTTTCATAACTAATAAAATTGCCTTCTGTATCAAATAAATCATGTACTACATGGAACCCTTTTTCATACAATGTCTTATAAAATACACATTTATTTTGAATCTTTATCTTATTATTATACCACAATGGTTCTAACAATATATCTACATCATGAAAATTAAAACTTTCTAAAAATTCAGCAAAATAAAGCAAAGTTTCTTTCCAAAAAATATTTTGTATGATTTTTGCCCTTTGTTTACAATATTCAGATCCAACCTGACAAAGTTTATTAATATTACAACCAGTAATTTCAGAAAAAATGTTTATCCAGTTTGAATTATTTGTAAATATTCTTCTAATCCATGTTAATTTTAGGGATTTAATAAATGTTTCTATATTAGTCATTCTACATCCACCTCTCTCAAAGTCTAACTGTAACGTTTTTCGGGATATTTTGTCAATTTTATTTCCCCATATGAATTTATATAGAGTTTTTTCTAGTTGCTGTATCCACTGCACACTTGGTTTCGGAAGACAAATAAATAAGTGTGTAAACTTTGATAAAAGCAAACTTTTTACTACCGTTATTTTTCCTAAAGGTGAAATATTTCTTTTAGACCAATGATTTATTTCTTTCTGAATAAGTTTAAATTTATTATCAAAATTAAGCTCTTCCATCTTTTCAAGATTTGCAGTGTATGTTATGCCTAGAACAGTAAATGGTTCATTTGTCCATTTTAATCCTGTATCACTACATAAAGTATTTTCTGTTTTAATTTTAGATCCAATCCAGACTGCTTTTGTTTTTGAAATATTAGGCTTTAATCCAGAGAATTTTGAGAATTGAAAAAGAAGATCAAGTGCACTTTTTAAACTCTTTTCTGATCCATCCAAAAAAAGAACTGTGTCATCTGCATATTGTAGTAGACAGACTTTTTCCTTCCCTATTTTAATGCCTTTGATATTTTTATTTTGTCGTATCATATGTCCTAAAATTTCTACACAAAGGTTAAATATGTAAGGAGATATCGGGTCACCCTGACGACACCCCCTACCGATTTCAAAAAATTTAGAAAAAATGCCATTTTGAATAACACATAATTTAGCTTTATTATATAGTACTGAAACCCATTTAATAAGGTCAGGGCCAAAATTAAAAAATTGCAACGTATTGTACATAAATTTCCATGATATGGAGTCAAATGCTTTTTCAAAATCTATTAGTAATATCATGCCAGGAATATGGTTTTCATTTGTGGCATTAATTACATCATAGATCATTCGTGTATTTTCCCCAATAAATCTATCTCTAAGAAAGCCCTTTTGATTGTCATGAATTAAATAGTTGAGAACGTTTTTAATCCTATTTGCTATACATGATGAAGCAATTTTATATGTAGTATTAAGAAGTGATATTGGTCGCCAATTTGAAAGGAATTCTCTTGGTTTATCACCTTTCGGTAATATAGAAATAATTCCCTGTTTCTGAGTTATGGATAATTCTCCCTCATTAAATCCAAAATTTATTGATCTGATAAGAAAGCTTCCAAGATCCTTCCAAAAAAATTTAAAAAATTCTACTGTAAAGCCATCACTACCTGGACTTTTATCATTATTCATTTTTTTTAACGCAGATAGGGCTTCTTTATATGTTATACATCCTTCTAAATTATTGGACATGTTGTCATCCAGAACCCTGATATCATCTTTATTAATTATATGTTCTAGATTCACATCTTGTAATTTATTATCAAAGCAAGAGTATAGGTTCTTATAAAATTTCTCAATTTCTGATAAAATTTCTTCCTGTGAAGTAATAATATTACCATTGCTGTGCATGAGTTGGTTCACAGTTTTATTAATAAAATTTCTTCTTTCTAAACTAAGAAAATATCTTGTCGGTTTTTCACCCTGTTCAATCCACTTAAGTTTTGTTCTAACAAAAAGCCCTTTTATATATTCTTTTCTTATTTCTTCTAAGCTATTTTGGGCAGCATTTAATTTTTCTATAATTTCTGTTGAACTATTAATATTTCTCAGTGATTCTAAATATTTTATTTCGTTTTCAAGTAAATTAATTTTTTCGTTTTTTAATTTCTTTTTTATAGAACAATATTGAATTGTAGCACCTCTTATACTCAGCAAAAGTTGCTCAAAAAATAATTGATCATCTATGAGTAGAGATAATTCCTCATTTTCAATTTTATGTATACATACTGGATTATACGGAGAGACAGCATATTGTTCCTTTACTTTTCGCATAGTATTTTTTACAATGTTTACATAAGACTGATCCCTGAGTAAAGAATTGTTAAACTTCCAAAATCCTTTCCCCTTTTCAAATTTGGTCAATTTAATTTCTATAGAAACCATTGAGTGGTCAGACTTATACCCAGGTATAATATCAACGTTATCTAATAAGGCAAAAAGTTCGTTAGATAATAGGAAAAAATCAAGTCTAGCTTTTTTAAGAGGATTGGTTTTAAACCAAGTATACCTTTTACGTTGTTCATATTTCACTCTCCAAGGGTCGGTCAAACCATGCTCAACTTTCATATTCAGAACTGTTTCCCTTGCCTTTTTATTATTTACATTATTATAATTAAAGTAATCTAAATTTGCATCTTGTACAAGGTTAAAATCTCCACCCCAAATTACAAATTCTCCTTGAAAATTTGAAATTATGTCAGATACTGATTGGAAAAATTTTGGATCATCATTATTCGGTCCATATACATTTACTAATAAAATATCATATTTATTAAATACATTAATCTCCAGAACAAGCAGGTTACCTGCTTTATCTTTTTGTTCATTTAGTATTTTATATTCAAAATTATTGTTGAACAAAATTGCGACACCTCTAGAATTTGATTGACCAGGTGATATGTAAACATCATAGCCCCAAAGAGATCTAACTTGTGAATAATCATCAAGAGTAAAATGAGTATCTTGTAAAAAAGTAATTGAGAAATTTTTCTGTTTTAAATAGTTAAGCACGTCTCTCCTCTTTTCTAGTCCCCCAAGCCCTCTACAATTAAATGTTAAAATATTAAAACTCATTTCACTATTCCGTAGCCACCTGTATTACACAATCTATAACTATGCTTTGACAAGTAAATGTTGTCTAAAAACAAAATTGTACGTTCAAGGCATTTTCGATTGAAATAAAATTTCTTTTCCAACAAACAAACATACATACATCTTTCACACAAAGACAAACACAGACAAACAAACAAAAATATTTGCATAATTCCTGGATGGCTCACAAGTTGACAAGTTTAATGTTACTTATACCTTGTTTTCGTTGTCATCACAGTGACAGTCATGTCCATTTTATTTCACCGGATATACATGCGTCCTCGACTAACTAAAGAACCAAGTCCGGATCGCCTCATCTTTTCCGTATTTTCTTGTCAATATCATCGTATAAATCAAATTTGATTCTTCGTTTCCCGCATTCTCCGTAAATGTGTCCATTAAAGTACCATGCCGCGG